TCTCGCCCAGACCCTGGAGGCCTGCTGCTGGTCAGGGGGTGGAGAAAGGGGCGGTTTACTAGGTGGGGGGGAAGAACCAAGAGAGGTTGGCCGGCCATGGGAGGTTGGCTTTGGGAGCACACTGACTACCAGGGGGAAGCTCTGCATTGAGCGTCTGCCCCCTGGTGGTCAGTGCATGTCATAGCGACTAGTCAACCAATAGTTCCGATTGTTCAGTAATAACAGTCACTTAGGCTTTTATATATTTATAAAAAGAGATTTGTTTACTGACTGTTTCTCTTGGCTAGAATATAAGGCTAGAGATTAGCAACTTTGTTTGCCACTATATCCTGGCATCAAGAAAACAGAAGGCACTATGGAATGAACATTCTTGCTGCAAACTAAGATAGAAGAGGCAAGCCCATTCCCTAACATCCACTTCCTATTCTCTCTTTTTTACTTATTTATTTACTTATTTATTTATTATTGATTTTTAGAGAGGGAGAGGAAGAGTGAGATACAAATATCAATGATGAGGGAATCATTGATTGGCTGCTTCCTGTACCCCCTACTGAGGATCAAACCCACAACCAGGGCATCTACCCTTAACCGGAATCGAACCTGGGACCCTTCTGTTTGCAGGCTAACACTATCCACTGAACCAAACCAGCTAGGGCTACCCATTCTCTTTTCATAAGGGGGGGAAAAGTGTTTGCTTGAACATATAATTTAAATAAATGATCTTCGATCATGAAGCAAATAACCCTACAAAAAGACATTATAAATGATTGATTCCTTACTTGCAACACAGTACTTCTAAATGGGAAAACCTGGCTTTCAAGAATGGAACAATTAGAAGTCAATGCAAATACATAGCTATTTTCACTGCACATAGTATTTGAAAGATTTGTCAATAATCATGTCAATAGTTCCTTTGGAAGAAATCAATTCAACACTATCAGCTGGAACTTAAAAACCCACCAAAATCCTCAACCAGCAAATTTTGTACAACACAAGAGAAAAATACCACCTGCATTTTTAATTAGAGTATCTTGCTGGGCTTGAGAATTTAACAATCTAATAAGAAATAGTTGACTATGGAAAACTACATTTTATTAAGTCTGTGTTAAATGCTACTTTAGCTAAGATTAAATCTTTTCAAACATCAAATCACCATGACTACAGCATAATTCAGAAATACTTTTAAATCTGCAAAATTAAAAAAAATCCAAGGGATATAAACCACTGAATAAAACAAATACTGTATTAATAAAGTTATATATTATTTATCTGACAAGCTTAGTCATCTTGAACAGGGCTGGGAAGTGGGAACAAAAAAAAAAGTAAGTGCTCAAACTATTTCTGACACTATCGTTGAATAATGGATATAAGACTATTTTAGACCTTTTTTATTCTATAGCCAAGTCATGTTACAGTTCCATTAAGCTTACCAATATAGTATTTTCACCCATAAGGGGACTATCTGCAAGAGAGAAGCACTTCACAATAACAGGAAATTGGGAGTTTATTGCATAAAAGTATGAGAGTTGGGAAAAAATAAAGTATACATTGTAAAAACAAAAATAAAACTGATAAGCACAAGAGCCTGGGCTCATTTAGAGCTGGTCATAAATAGTCCTAACATTTTTAAATATAAGATAGTACTATACATTATGCCTATTACCATTATCTCCCGGTACAACTTTTAAAAATATATTTTTATTGATTTCAGGTATGGAGAGGTTGAGAGATATAAACATCAGCGATGAGAAAGAATCATTGATTGGCTGCCTCCTACACGACCCCATACTGGGGATCGAGCCCGCAACCTGAGCATGTGCCCTGATCAGGAATCAAACTGTGATCTCCTGGTTCGTGGGTTGATGCTCAATCACTGAGCCACACAAACTGGGATCTCCTAGAACAATCTTAATTATTTCCTAGTTGTGTGACCTTGGTAAGTAATAGTAAAAGACCATATCAACCAGTTTAAATAATGAAAGGAGGTTCTTTAAAAAAAAAAAAAAAAAAAAAAAAAAAAATATATATATATATATATATATATATATATTTATATATGGGTATGAGTTTGGCAAAAGATTTATGTGTCAGAAGTTTAAAGTCAGTTTAAAGCCTTGGAAAAGTTGACTTCATTGTTAACGCTTTTAGAACTGCCATTTCTACAAAAGAAAGTATGACATTCAGTATGTACTAATACATAAAATCTTCATTTTCCACATTATAATTTTCTGCCTAGTTGTATATAGCAATATTATCAATACTATGACTGATTTTATCTGATGAAACTTGCTGGCTTTATAGGTCCAAACAATAAGAGCCTTTATTACAAAATGAAATTTCCAAGTTTCCATTTGTGATTCAATGACAAATTTTAAAAAATCAACTCTGAAGTAATTCTTTATTATTTATTATTTTTATTAGTTTCAGAGAGGAAAAGAGAGGGAGAGATAGAAACAACAATGATGAGAGAGAATCATGGATTGGCTGCCTCCTGCACACCCCCTACTGGGAATTGAGTCCACAACCCAGGCATCGGCCCTTGACAGGAATAGAACCCAGGACCCTCAGGCCTGCAGGCTAAACTGGCTAGGGCTCTGTGAAGTAATTCTTGATGAAAGTTTTAATGCCTTTAAATAGGAATGCCCAGCTGAAACTGGTTTGGCTCAAGGGATAGAACGCCAGCCTGTGGACTGAAAGGTCCCAGGATCGATTCCAGTCAAGGGCATGTACCTTGGTTGGGGATGTGCAAGAGGCAGCTAATTGATGATTCTCTCTCATTGGATGTTTCTAACTCTGTCCCTCTCTTTCTCTCTGTAAAAAAATCAATAAAATATATATTTTTAAAATAATAAATAAATAAATAAATAAATAGGAATGCCCAGAACCCAAACTAGTCTAAAACATAATTTTCTTAAATCCCTTCAAAGATTCATGTCCATCCCCCAAAATGCCAAATACACCACTCCTTCAGGGCAACATCCCAAAAAGCTTCAACCATTCTAGCATTATCTCAAGTTCAAAATATCATCTAAGTTATCCAAGTCTAGCATTATCTCAAGTTCAAAATATCATCTAAGTTATCCAAGTCAGGAATGGGTCAGACTCTGGCTATGACATATCATGGAACAAAATTCCTTTCCACTTGAAACTAGAAAACAAGTTATCACTTCTAAAATACAACTATAAGACAGGCAAAGGATAAAAGTAATATATTCTCCCATTTCAAAGGGAGAAAGTGGTAGGAAGACAAGTCACTGGGCCAACCAATCTCAAAATTCAACAAGTCAAATTCCATTATATTTCAAGGCCTAGGAATACTGTGATCTGTGGCTCTACCCTTTGGGCTTGAAACTCCACTCTCAGAGTCATTCTTCCTTTTCTTTTCTTTTTTTAATTTTGGGGGAAAAAAAGTTTTTATTGACTTTTTAGAGAAAGAGAAAGGGAAAGGGAAAGATCAATCGGCTGCCTCCTGCATGCACCAGGGATCAAACTGAAACCTGGGCGTGTCCCCTGACGGGGAACTAAACTAGCAACCTTTTGGTGCACAGGAAGATGCTCAACCAACTGAACCATACCAGCCAGGACCATTTTTCCTTTTCTAGAAGGCTATTTGCAGCTGTTTCCTGCTTATTGAATTTTGAAAGTTCATCAGCCTTCCTTCATCTGGTCAGTCCAAACTGTCAGTGTTTTTGCTGATAAAATATTCTCAAAACTCTTGTGAGTCACCTGTGTATGCTGTGAGGGTTCTCATCGTTAGATACGTAAGATGGTCCTCCATGGCTCTTCCCTGATCTCTCCATTCAATCTCTATTCCTGGCTTTTGCTGATATGAGCCACATGCAAAAGGTTATCTAGACACCCTCCTGGCTTTCCCTTCATAGCCAGTTTCCTGACAACGAATTTCCCAATTTTAGGAAGCTGGATAGGTTGAGAATCTTCCAAATCATCAAGTCCTGAATCTTTTTTGCTCTAACAAGTTACCACATAGAGACTTAAAACAACAGAAAATTATTCTCTCATGATCCAGCAGCAAAGTCTAAAATCCAGTATCACTGAGCTGAAATCAAGGTTGTCAACAGGACCACACTCCCTCCAGAGGTTCTAGAGGAGGAGTTTTCCTCACCTCTTCCACATTCTTATGGCTACCAGCATTCCTTGACTAGTGGCCACGTCATCCTGCCTCTGTGGCCATCCTGCCTTTGTGGTGTGTGTGTGATAACTTAGCCTGCCACAGAAGCAGACTCTTCAATTACTCTCTGCCTTTACCCTCTTTGGATCAATTTGTTTCAAAGAGTTTCTTATAATGTAATTAGCTTAATTACCCATGTTCATATTAGCAAAGTTTGTGGGATTAGAAATGCAGCATGAGAAATGTAAATAGGCAGATTCAACATGAAGTAGAAAATTTAGTTATTTCCCTCCATCTTTTTTTTTTTTTTTTTTTAATATATTTTATTGAGTTTTCACAGAGAGGAAGAGAGAGAGGGATAGAAAGCCAGAAACATCTATAAGAGAGAAACAATGATCAGCTGCCTCCTGCACACCCCCTACTGGGGATGTGCCCACAATCAAGGTACATGCCCCTGACCAGAATCGAACCCGGGACTCCTCAGTCCGCAGGCCAACGCTCTATCCACTGAGCCAAACTGGTTCCGGCTATTTCCCTCCATCTTATTTAACTGCTGGGAAAAGAAGTAATTTTCAGTTGCATAATTAAAAAAAAAAAAAAAAAAAACACAAAAGTTGATAAATAAAATACTACTTTGATCATAAAAATGAAGGTTTTTATGGAGAAGGTCCACTCAAGAAACATATCAGAATAAGGGTCAAAATTGCAAGGTTAATGAAATAACAGGCAAACATCTACATAACTTAAGATTGAATATGTGGTTTCAGAGCTAGTAAGTAACAGATTTCCTCCTCCCTCAAACCTTTAAATTTAAAAATCTATTTTATAGTCAAATGAAAGATAAGAATCCAAAATAAATTTCTCTTCTTACCTCTACACAGTCAAAGTTCTCATTAACTTTTGATGCATATTCAACACGGAACATTGTTGACAGGCTACCCGCAATATAGTATAACAAGATCTTCAGACCCTTGTAACCAAAAGCAGTTTCACTAAAAGGGGAAAAACAACAGTTAACTAAGATCTCAAAATAAATCTTTGCAAAGTCATTATAAAGTATTAACCCTATATAAACAAGTGTAGCTCTTTTGGTAGTTTTTGTGCGCTTTATTTATTTATTTTTATCTTTATTGTTCAGATTATTAGTTGTTCCTCTTCCCCCTCACCTCCCATAGCTCCCTTTCACCTAGTTCCCACCCCACCCCACCACATGCCCCTATCCCCGCACTGTCCTCATCCATAGGTGTATGATTTTTGTCCAGTCTCTTCTTGTACCCCCGACACCCCTTTCCCTGCCCCTCATTCCAATATATTCACCAGTTTATTCTGTTCCTCAGATTTTTAATTCACTTGACTTTTAGATTCACTTGTTGATAGATATGTATTTGTTGTTCATAATTTTTATCTTTACCTTTTTCTTCTTCTTCCTCTTCTTAAAGAATACCTGTCAGCATTTCATATAATACTGGTTTGGTGGTGGTGAACTCCTTTAGCTTTTTCTTATCTGTAAAGCTCTTTATCTGACCTTCAATTTTGAATGATAGCTTTGCTGGATAATCTTGGTAGTAGGTTCTTGCTATTTATCACTTTGAATATTTCTTACCACTCTGGCTGGCCTGCATAATTTCTGTTGAGAAATTAACTGACAGTTGTAGGTAACTGTTTTCTCTTACTGCTTTTAATGTTCTCTTTTCTTTTGCTCTTGGCATTTTAATTATGTTGTGTCTTGGTGTGTTCCTCTTTGGATTCCTTTTATTTGGTGTTCTGTGCACTTCCTGGACTTGTAAGTCTATTTCTTTCACCAAGTGGGAGAAGTTTTCCGTCATTATGTCTTCAAATAGGTTTTCAGTATCTTGCTCTCTCTCCTTCTGGCACCCCCATAATTCAGATGCTGGTATGCTTGAAGAGGCTCCTTACACTATCTTTATATTTTTATATTATTTTTTCTTTTTGCTTTTCTGGTTGGGTGTTTTTTTGCTTCTTTGTATTTGAAATCTTTGACTTGATTTTTACAATTTTCTAGTATACTGTTGTATCTCTGTATTTTATTTCGTATTTCAGTCAGTGTATGCTTAATTTCTAGTTGGTCCTTTTTCATATCCTCGAGGATCTCAGTAAATTTATCGGCCTTTTCTAGAAAATTCTTGAAAAATCTTATAACCATTGTTTTGAACTCTATATCCAGTAATTTGCTTTATTCCATTTCTGTCATTTGTGAACTGTTTCTTTGTCTCCACATTTTGGCTGCTTCACTGAGTTGATAGAGTGGTTTCTGTGTGCTAGGTTTCCTATAGGTTCCAGTGGCTCAGCCTCCCCAGTTACCTGAGATAAAGACTCTTGGTGCACCCCTTTGTGGGCTCAGTGTACAGTCTTGTTGTAGTTATTAAGCCTTGATTGTTGTTGGTATCACTGGGAGGAATTGACCTCCAGGCCAATTGGCTGTGAGGATAAGCTGTGTCTATGATGGGAGAACTTTTGTGCTGGAGACACACTTATGGGGCAATACGTGCTTCAGTGGGGCTTGGTGCTCACTGAGTCTGCCCTCTGAGTGTGTCCCTTATGGATCTGAGGAGTTGTAAACTGGATGGTTCCACTCTGACCCCTGGGTACACTGGCTCTTGGATCTCCAAGAGGGTACTAATTTAGCCTCTGCCTGAGGCCACCCAGCAGAAGCTACAAAGAGATCTGCAGATTCCTCTTCTTTGTTTGGGGTTTGGAGGTGCCCAGATGAGGCCCAGCTGTGAAGCAATGTAGGCTGCTGTCAAGCCTTGGGCCTTTTGGAAGTTCTGGGTCTCTCTGACCCAGCTGCAGTTTGTCAGGATCAGGCCTAAATGGGCAGACAGACATCCCTCAAGTGGTCCAAGATTGGAGAGGGTGCAGACCGGGCTGAGGGACTTCCGTGCCTCCCCATCCCATGCATTAATTTTGAGCACCAGGCCTCTAGTAATAAAATATAATTATTAATATTTAAAAGCACATTAAATGCCTAATATATAAATGAGAAGTATTTATGAAATCTGTTCCATGAAAAGAAGACATCTTTCAATTTTAAAATATGTTGAATATGTCAAAGGTGTTGAAATAATGCATTCAAAAAACCATAAAGGGAAATAATTTAAATGTCAACTATATCTTAACACCCTTCCCTACTACAACAAACCAAGGTTCCTTCAGAAAATGGCTGACTCCAGAACTAGTAAAAAATGTACAAGGTGACTCTGGAATATCTTACTGTGTCAGAAAGTAACAGGCCCTCAAAATGATGATGGTACACCAAAAGGACTCAAAAGCCGGTTTGACAGGATAACTACTTGCTTAATCTGGGATCATCAAAATCAGTAACAGAAACAGATTATAACCCACTGAATTTAAAAAAGAATCCTAGCTCTGGCCAGTGTGGCTCAGAGGCTAGAGTATCAGCCGGAGCACCAGGATTGATTCCCAGTTTGGGTCAGGTAACATACAGGACAAAACCAATCGGTATATCTCTCCCTCCTTCTCTCTCTCCCCCTACCCCCCCCCCCAAACAAAGAAATACATAATGGGGAGAAGCTTTTCCTTATTGTAGAATGTCAACTAATGAATATAGATGATATGACAGAGTTAGAAAACTACCATTTTATAATCACAGTAAATTCTGATTAAGATAAGAGTCAGTAGTGGATTTGAAAATTACTGGGTACAAGTTTGACGGGAAACAGGGTAATGTTAGTCTCAGAGTATTTCCCCATGGATTATATATAAATATAAAAGAGGAACCTGGCAGACATCTCTAAACTGAGTGGTCTAAGTTAACCTCACCAACAATGAAACAAATTGGTATCATGAACTTTCTGCTTTGACACACTGAGAAGGACAAATACAATTTATCACAGTACTACAAACAAATGCATTTTGTGAATTAAATCATGAAGAAATAATCAAACTAGTCCAAAATGAAAATTTACAAAACTAACCTATACTCTACAAAAATGTCAGAAAAACAAAGAAAGCTTAAAGAACTGTTTTAGATTAATGGAAACTAAAGATTTGTTACAACTAATTGTAATATGTGATTCTAAACTGGGTTCAGGATGGAGAAAAAAGCTATAAAAGAATTGCTAAAAATCAATTAGCAAAATTTGAAATGTGAATTCCATATTAGAAAATAGTAGTATATGTATCAATGGTAAATTTCCTGAGTCTTGGATATTCTACTACAGTAAGTGTCCTTGTTAGGAACTCCATACTAAAGAACTTAGGAGTAAGGGGTCAAGATAGTATCTATAACTGACTCTCAAATGGTTCAACAACAACATACTGATATAGAGGATAGGGCAAAAACAGACTTACAGTTGTTCGTATGGAAAATAATGCAATTAAAAAATATTAATACAAGAATAAACTTTGTGCTTCCTGTACTCACAAATATAAATGTACATTTGTCCCACCCTGTATTTATATATAAGAAGAGAAAACGATTGCCTGGCAGGTGTTCCTCAGTGGTTGAGCATCATCAACCCATGAAATCGGGAGGTCAGTTTGATTGCCATCAGGGCACATGACCAGGTTTCGGGCGCCAACACCAGTAGTGGGTGTGCAGAAGATAGCATATCAATGATTCTCTCTCATTGAAGTTTCTATCTCTCTCTCCCTTCCTCTCTCTGAAAATCAATAAAAACATAATTTAGAAAAACAAACATTTTTTTTTTTAAAGGAGCCTGATTAAAGCAAATATAGCTAAATGTTAACAACTGGTGAATCAAGATAAAGGATGTACAGAGCACTATTCTTGCAACTTTCTGCAAACAAAGTTTTTTTCAAAATAGTTTTTTTAAAAGGTAATTGACTATTCTAATAATGTAATGAAGGTACAGGAAATTAAAGCATTGTGCTGAATATCCCAAGACATACCTTTAAAGTTACTTTTAAAAATAAATTTCTCAACTGCTTACTTACTTGTCATAGAATAACAATTTGAGCTTTCTTGCTTTAGAAGGGAGGGTGTATTTTGCCCTAGAAGCAGTGTACCAAAGTAGTAGTTAGAGAAAAAGTAATAGTTTTGAATATGGGCTCTATAGTCAGGTTGCCTGAATCTGAATTTCAGCCTTTCATATGTTGTTAGGCAACTATCCAGTTAGACTAATGTTCATTGTAACGATAATACTACCTGGTATCACTAAGACTATCGTGAGAATAAAATGAAATAATGCATCTATGGCACCAAATAATAGATAGTAAATTGGTGTCTCAATGTCAAAAATGCCATTTTAATATATATTTTAAAATAAATTACATGAAAAATAACAGGAAAGAAAATAAAGTTTGATTTCTAACTTTTTTTTTAAAGAACAGAATTTTTTTTGCAATACTAATTAGAAAAACATCTCATTATGTTACTTACTCATCCCCAAAGAGTTGATGGGTATATTCAGGAAAGAAAGTTCTAATATCATTCTCAAGATCTTCGGGGAAACGAACTGTTTAAAAGGGAAAAAAATGTAGAGATATTAAAGATATTACAGGTGACAGGTTATTTCAATTTTAAGAATTTCATTATACAGTCAATATTTTTCTTACTTAAAGTTGTTGCTTTTCCATTATATGACTTATAATGAAGTCTCATGAGACAAATGAACAATAAAAATAAAAAAATCACTGAGTGTTTTAGTACCAAAAATCTACTGATTTAGTGGCCAGAGAGAAGTCAATGGGAGAAAAGGAAACATGTAATATTTTAAACAATAAAGAACTAAAAATAAGTAAATAAACAAATAAATCAACAAAAATTTTTTTAAAAAAAAGAAAAAAAAATTAGAAAAATAGGTATGATAGAGGCATCTGATTTAGTTTATATTTTTCTGTATGTTCATACACAATGAAAAAATTAAACAAAACCAAAAGAGACACTTTGAGATAAGAAAAGGTTTCAACATCAAGGAAACAAAAACAAAATCTATAGGAAACATTAGAAAAACAATAATCTGAGTTAATGAAGCCCATATCATCACATCATTTTTTATGACTGTAAGATAATATATGTTGTTTCTAGTTTTGGGTTTTTTTGTTTTTGTTTTTTCTATTAAAAATCGCCCTAACTGGATTGGCTCATGTACCTTGAATGCGGGCACATCCCCAGTAGGTGTGCAAGAGGCAGGTGATGGATGTTTCTCTCTCATCAATGTTTTTAACTCTCTATCCCTCTCCCTTCCTCTCTGTAAAAAATCAATAAAATATATTTATAAAAAAATCTAAAAAATAAAAAATAAAAATAATGCTGCGCCCTAGCCAGGTGGCTGTTAGTTGGAGCAATGTCCCATATACCAAAAGGTTACTGGTATGTAAGGGCACATACCTAAGTTGCTGATCCCTGGTTGGGGTGCGGAGGCAATTGATTGATGTTTCTCTTTGATTTTTATCCCTCCCCTTTTTCTCTCCCTACCTCTGTCTCTAAAAAATCAATAAAAACATATCCTCAAGTAAGGGTTAAAAATAAATAATAACACTGCAATGACATCTTGATATATAATACCTTGCTGTACTTTTACAACATACACAAGGTAAGTTCCTAGCAGAAGAAAGGCTTAGTGAAAATACTAAAATATTTTTTATAAATACTACTTAAATGCCCTCTAAAAATACTGTAATAGTTTATATACCCACCACAGCTTTTAAACTCCTTTGTTTCCCACATCCTTGATAATACTCTATACCCCCAACTTTAATTTCTACTAGTCCAAATTGGAAATGAGAATCCTGTTACTTGTATTTGTATGTATTATGAATACTGATATTATTGAACAGTTTCCCAATATAATTTATCTTATGAAAAAAAATTTTACAAAAAAAAATCCTTAAGCAATTGAAGATGAAAAAAGATGAGTTATAGATGAAAAATTGCTAATACTGTCCTCACAAAGCAAGTCACTTGTAGGGTACCAAAGTACCAACAGATTACGATTTACAGAAGAAAAAACCCATAGAGATCTGTCACTTAACACCTTTCCAAGGGATCTTAGAATTAACTCATTTTTGAATAGACCAACATAATGTGCCTCCTGATTTAATGCAATATAACGTATACACCATCACAAAAACAGCTTTCTTTCTAAAAATATTTATCTTAGATCTAAACCAGCTTTATTGTCTTCCACTTTAAAGAAATAGAGGGGCCCTACACAGTTTGGCTCACTGGACAGAGGATAGGCCTGCAGACTGAAGAGTCCCAGGTTCAATTCTGGTCAAGGGCATATGCCTGGGTTGCAGGCTCTATCCCCAGTAGGGGGTGTGCAGGAGGCAGCCAGTCAATGATTATCCATCATTGATGTTTCAATCTCTCTTTCCCTTGAGAGATCTGTCTCTCTCCCTTCCTCTGTCTCTCTCCCTTCCTCTATGAAATCAATAAAAAAATATAAATATTTAGAAAAAATAGAAATATAGAGGGTAGGGGAACAAGTTACATACTACCAAAAGGAAATAAAAAATATCTAGAATGTACAAACTGAATAAAAAAAAAATAGAAAAGATACAAATAAATGGGAGCATATACTGTGCTTATGGATAGGAAGACTTAACAGCATTAAAATATCCATTCTACCCAAACCAATCTATAGATTCAATGCAATGCCTATCAAAATACCAATGGCATTTTTCAAGAATGAAATAATCCAAAAATTTATATGGAACCACAAAAGACCCCAAATAGTCAAATAATGTTGTATGCCAACACTGGATATAGTCTTCAGGAGTAGTCACATAAAAAATAAGATGTTACTAATAAAATTATTATGCAGTTGTAACTTGAACATTAACTGTGTGTCAGGCAATTTGCTAAAATTTTTTTAATCATTACTAGAGGCCTGGTGCACAAATTTGTGCACAAGTGGAGTCTCTTGGCCTGACTGCCAATAGGGGCGGATGGGGGCCATCTTGCTCAGTCCCAAATGGGGCCAATCCAGGACCAGCCAGTGAGAGGAGGGACCGTGGGAAATTTGCCAGCCAAGGGAGGTTGGCTATGGAAGTGCTCTGACCACCAGGGGGCAGCTCCTACCTTGAGTATCTGCCCCTGGGTGATCAGTGTGCGTCATAGCAACCAGCCAACTGGTCGTTCAGTCGTAACAGTTGCTTAGGCTTTTATATATATAGATTGCAGTTAATCCTCACATGAGCTATTGAATGTTCATTTCATAGATGAATGATGCAAAAATGACTAATTTGCTCAAGGTTATACAGTTAAGTAGTGGGTTTAAATACATCAGTGGTTCTCAACCTTTCTAATCAGTGGTTCTCAACCCTTTAATACAGTTCCTCATGTTGTGGTGACCCCCATCCATAAAATTATTTTCATTGCTACTTCATAACTGTAATTCTGCTACTGTTATGAATCGTGATTCATTATGCGAAACAATCCCAAATAGGGAATCCTAGCCTATATAATAAAAAGGTAATATGCAAGTCGACCGAATTGCTGAATGACCAGTCACTATAATGTGCACTAACCACCAGGGGCACACTCAACACAGGAGCTGCCTCTGTGGTCAGTGCACTCCCACAGTGGGAGCATTGCTCAGCCACAAGTCAAGACTGATGACTAGCGAGCACAGCAGCCTACCTCCACGGCAGCGCTAAGAATGTCCGATTGCAGCTTAGGCCAGCTCCCTGAAGGCCTAAGTTGTCAATCAGACATCCCCTGAGGGCTCCCAGACTATGAAAGAGTGCAGTCTGGGCAGAGGGACCCCCCCCGTCCCCCAGTGCCCAAATTTTGTGCACCAGGCTTCTAGTACTTAAATGTTATGATAAGTCACAGTGTACTACAAATTTAAAAGAATAAGATAGAGCTCTATGTTTTTTTTACAGAGAATGATATTCAAGACATTGTTAAGCTAAATAATAAAAGTCTTATTACAGGCTCCTGTAGAAGGAAAAAAAAAATCTAGATCAGTATTATCTTTTACCTTGTCATTTTCTTTGTATTTCTATTATGTTTGTAGTAGAGGCCTGGTGCATGAAAATTCACATACTGGAGGAGGGGATCCCTCAGCCCAGCCTGCCCCCTCACAGTCCAGGAGCCCTCAGGGGCGGGAGGCAACCTGGTGATCAGGGGAAGGCAACACCCCATCACACCTCTGCTGCTGCCACTGCCGGCCCTGGTTACATGAGCCTCGGGAGGCCCTGGGCGGCTGGGGACTGAGGGGATTCTGGAGGCAGGCGTCCCTGTGGGGCTGAGGGGGTTGGGGGTTGCCACCTTGTCACTGAGGGCGCAGCCATCTTTGCCACAGTGTAAAGGTCAATTAGCATATTACCTCTTTATTAGATAGGACTGTTTATAAATGACAGCAGCTGGCATTTATTGAGAATTTTTAAAAGTTGTTATTCAAGCACTTTACTTGTGTTTAACCTTTCATTTAATCTTTACAAACACTATAAAGTAAACACTATCAACTCCATTTTAAAGATTAGGAAATGGGGACATAAAAAGTGATTGAACCAGGATTTGTGAGTATATAATTAAACAGTGTTACTGAAGTATAATTTATATACCATACAATTCACTTGTTTTAAATAATTTTTAGTAAATTTAAAATTGTGTAACCATTGTCACAATCTCATTTTAAAATGCTGCTATGATTCCCAAAAGAAATCCCATGCTCATTTTCAGTCATCTCTATTCCCACCTTCAACTCCAGGCGATCACTAAATCAACTTCCTGTGACAGAATTGGCTTTTCCAAACATTTCATACAAAAAGAATCATACAGGATATGGGGTAGTTTTGTTTTTGGTCGGGTTTCACTTAGTATGTTTTTGAGTTTCACCCATGTTTCAGCATTATCAGACCTTCATTCCTTTTTATTGTCACATAATATTCTATCATATAGATATACGTACCACACTTTATCTGTTTACTAATTGATAGATATCTGGGTTGTTTCCATTGTTTAGTTATTGTGAATAATGATGCTATGAGCATTCATGTATGAGTTTTTATATGGACAAATATTTTCATTCCTCTTGGGTAGATACCTAGGAGTAGAATTTCTGGGTCATTTAATAAATTCATGTTTTTAGCTTTTTAAAGAACCTGCCAAATGGTTTTCCAAAGTAGTTGCATTATTTTACATTCCCTTCAGCATTATAATAGTGTTTTTTTCACATCCTCATCAACACTATTATTTTTATAAGAGTAAATATTTTAAAGAAGCTGAGACCACTTATTCATGTCACTTTTTGCCACACTATACTTCCTATACGTAAATTTTGTCACCTCTCAAACATCTACCCACTCCCTGACATAAATCAAGACTGAATAAAATCTGAATTATGTCCAATAAATGCAGAACATTATTTATACAAACAACTGCTCTTACATGAAATTCTACTTCAAAGATTACATTATATATATATATATATAATGTACACACATACAATACATACATAATACCACTTAGAAATGGCATACATACCTAATTTTAGTTCAATTGCTGTGTTGGTGTTACATTTATACTCTGCCAGTTTCTTTTCCTCTGCACTTTTGTACTCAACCAAAAATTTCTCCATAGCACCAAATCCTAAGAGAAAGATTTTTAAAGGTCTGGTTGAAATGGTTTAAATAGGCAAATCTAAAAATAGGGTTGTTATGAGAAGTGAAATAAAAGTAAGATTTAAAGCATTTTTATAGATCATAAAAGTATAGGTCATTGTTCACATCCTCCTAAATAAATGTACTTTGTATGAGTGCCTCATTATAAAACGTCATTTGAGATAAAGGCTTATGAAGCAGCGCTGCTTTACATGAATGAGTACACCTGAAAATAAACATGACAGACTACTGACATTTCTGAATATTTAATACTAATATAAATTTCCTGCTATGATTTATACCTATATAGCCTTTTTAAAAGAAATATAAAAAGGATGATACTGCTCCACTAAGAAATAAAGGGAGGCCGAAACCGGTTTGGCTTAGTGGGTAGAGTGTCAGCATGCGGACTGAAAGGTCCTGGGTTTGATTCCGGTCAGGGGCATATACCTTGGTTACGGGCACATTCCCGGGAGGGGGTGTGTGCAGGAGGCAACAGATTGATGATTCTCATGTTTCTAACTCTCTCTTTCTCCCTTCCTCTCTGTAAAATATCAATAAAATATATTTAAAAAAAAATAAAGTGAGAATGTCCTTTAACAATTACAATAACATTTCATATCTAATACTGGAAAAACTATACCCAGAGTACTTCCAGACTATTAAAAGAACTATGAACTGATAATGCATAGATTATCTTAGAAAGTATACACAAGAAACTGGTAACCATGGTTACCTCTAGGATAAGAGAAGGAATGGGGGGATAGGTTTAGAAAAGAAAATTTTCATTGTATTATAAATATTTTTTACCATCTGTGAATAGTCATAAACTATCCCAGCTATTGGAATAACCAAATGGTTTCATAACGTGGCTAGTCATCAAGATATATAATAATTAATGAAAGAATCATTATCAAGAGGAACTTTCAAGCAAAGATGACAATAAGTCTCTAGACAAAATAAATATAAAAGTTAGCAAAAATTCAGAGGGGAAAATCATGAACAGAAACAAAAAGGGTACAATAACATGCCATAATATTTCAATAAGTGGTTAAAACACATACACAGAAAATGGGGAACAGTTGAGGCAATTACTGATTAATGATTTGGAATCAGAATTCCTGCATTCAAATTCAGTCTTCACCATTTATTTACTTCATCTATGAATTACTTGACCTCTTTGACCTTAATCTATAAAACTGAGATAACAGATCCCACCTCGAATTTATATATAAACTAAGCAACAAAATTTAACTTGTAAAATCCCACATTAGCTTAATCCCCCACAATTCTATAATACGTATATATTATGTGTTATAACTCGATACTCACAAATAAATCTCTTTGCTTAATTAAGAGCTCCCAACTACTAAATGGTGAAGCTGAGATTCCAATTTAGGTGTGATTCTTATAACATGTACACCCTATGCAGTACCTATGTTCCCCCTCTTTTATAGAACCAGTGTATTCAATGATCCCATAGCTCTTCCTTAAACTTCTGTAGAGCTTGCCAAGACCGGTTTGGCTCAGTGGATAGAGCATCGGCCTGCGGACTGAAGGGTACCGGGTTTGATTCCGGTCAAGGGCACATCCCCAGTGGGGGTGGGAGGGGGGAGTGCAGGAGGCAGCTTATGGATGTCCCTCTCTCATTGATGTTTCTAACTTTCTATCCCTCTCCCTTCCTCTCTGTAAAAAATCAATAAAATGTATGAAAAAAAAAACAAAACCCAACTTCTGTAGAGCTCAAGCTATAGCCTGTCTATCCAGCACATCCATAAAAGTGTAGTGAGCCCTAACTGGTGTGTCTCAGTGGATAGAGGGTCGGCTTGCGGACTGAAAGGTCCCAGGTTTGATTCCTGTCAAGGGCATGTACCTTGGTTGCGGGCACATCCCCAGTGGGGGGGTGTGCAAGAGGCAGCTGATCCATGTTTCTCTCTCATCGATGATTCTAACTCTCTCTCCCTTCTTCTCTGTAAAAAATCAATAAAATATATATATTTTTTAAAAGTGTAGTGAGACTACTATGAAGGCACTGGGAACAGCGATCATAAACTGTCAATGACGTGAAAAGATAAGTAATTTGGGCGGGGGGTGGGGGGCATACATAGGCACATCAAAACTGTCTTCATACACGTACCAAAAAACAGACATGATTATTAAATGTTGTTATCAAATGTTGTAAAGAAGGCTCAACAGAGAGCAGAACAGAATGACCACTAGGGAATTACATTATGGTATACACACTCTAAAAAGAGTTTAGGCGAAGGAAGAATGAGAGAGCCGCTTTCTCCGAGAAAAATCTTATACACCCATCCTAGAAATACCGAAGTGTGAGAGATTAAGGGGACGGCAAAGTCAGTCATGACATTCCAGTGAGAGCCCCGCGCAGGGCGAGGCGGCCGGGCGCTAGCTCTCACGCCGCAGGCGGTGGGAGGCGGGGGACCTGGAAGGGGAGGATGAGCCTTAAAACCAGCCGGCGGGAACAGACCCAGCCCCGTGCGGCCGAGGCAGCAGCGGGCAAAAGGGACGAGGAGAGAAACAGGCCTCAAAGCACCTGGCACCTTCCAACCCGAGCCGCGACGCTTTTCCCCTCGGCTTCTCTCCGTCGCTCGCCGGGGGGTCAAGTTCTTCGCCGAAGGCGCCGACCCAGGAGCCGCGGGGGGCGGGGGCGCGAACCTCTCCTCACAAGAGGCTGCAGCGCTCCGAGTTCCGCGCTCCCAGGCTGGAACAGGCCTTCTGGAACCCAGGCCGGAGCCCCAAAGTTCCAAGCGGGCACTGTCACCACGGCCTCGGCGTTCTTTCCCGAACCTGCCGGCCCCCTCCCCTCCGTAAACTTTTCCCGGGAACTTACCCGCCATTTCCGAGCTCGGGGAGCACCCGCGGCCGAGGAAGGACGAATCAACCCGCGCGCTCCCGGGCCGGAAGTGAGCGCATGGGATGACGCCTTTTCCCTCCCGCCGGCCAATGAGAGGAGGAGGCTCGGCGCGCGGGGCGGCGGAAGCGGCTCGGGAGGCGGGACTTACGGCGCCGGGAAGCTCTCGGGCAAACGCTTAGCCGCCGCGGGCGCCGGCAGCTGTGTTGTAGGCCTGAGGCAGAGGAGGAGGCCGTAAAGGGGACCTTCTGTTTAGCCCTGGGAGCCTTTCCTGAGGTTAATCTGAATTATATACTTTCTGGCTCTCTGTCTCCCCTCCTCCTCCCTCCGGCGATGTTTTGGAGACGGAGAGAAAAACTCCCCCCCCCCCCCCCCCCCCCGGCCTGAACGGTAGACCCAATCACCTGCACCCTGAATTTAAAATGTAGGAATTGAGTTGGAGTTGCGGAAGAAATTTTCACTTAACTTTACTTGTTTCTGTTTTTGCTGTTCAGACTTAACCTCGTTTTTCTTTTCTCTCATGTTATCAGTATGCAGTGCGATGTCAACGTAGGGACTCTGCTGAAATCGTTAATACCTCGACGTCTGTCTGAGTGGCTTGAACCACATCGCACTATTGCTGCTGTTTTCGGCCATTAGGCTTATTATTATTTAGTAACTGTTGAAACCGTTTGTCCCAGAGGATAAGCCACATTTTTTTTTGATAACCACAAGTATCCCTGCAGGGTTGTGTATACTGTAGAATGCCTTGTGACAACAAATGTTGGCTATTAGGTTTTACGATGACGCTAGAGTTGAAATTGGACCCTCTAGAACGAATGCACCACTTCATTTTAGAGATGAGGAAACTAAAGCCCAGGAAAGAGAAATTATTCAAGTCCTCCCAGTATACAGCCTATGCAAGAAATTGTCTTAAGTCCTTTCAGGACACAGCCTATGCAAGAGTCCAGTTCTTCAGATACCCCATATTTTATACTACATGGAGATGGGCCTCCTGAAGATTAAAAAAAGGTACCGAGAATGCTCAGATCCTTTTCCTTTAAGCCTTAATGAGACACCAGAAATTATTATCATACAGTGTTAAATAGAAAACTGAATCAATACTATAATCAGTGACATTATGGATATAAAAAGGGAAGCAATAATGTCCTCAAAATGTCAAGACTTATTATTTCTTTCCAAAACCACCTTATCTGTAGATCAATCAATTGCTGACCAGCAATTATGATCCTTATAATAAGAAATCAAGAACATTTTTAACTGCAGTAAATCTGAAATGGATTAGTCCTGTGACTTCATAGTTATTTGTAGAAAAGAAATATGGTGAAAACTATACATGATAAATATGAATAAGAAATAAGATGAATATGAGTAAGGAATATGATGAGCTGTATCATGTGACTACCATTTAGTATGATCAACTTGCAAAATTGAGGTTACAGTTTTAAATTATCCTTGTCTTAGAGCTATTCACACATTTATTAAAATACCACAGAATACATGTTTAGATGCAGTTTGCCTAAAAGATAAAAAGAATGACTTCTTTTAGCATCATAATAGTAAAATCACCAAAAAAGAAAATGTATTTCCTTTTTTAGTAGGGTCTTTCCCCGCTTTTTGAATTTATATTTTACCTTATTCTAAAGGGAATTTAGGAAGTGATTATTGCCACCGTGGGATAAAATATCTATGAAAAGGAATATGCTGTCCTACTAGTATGTAAGAGGTAGCATAGTGGAATGGGAAGTCCAAGCCAATCTAGTCTAAGTTCTACTTTTTCATGATTGTGACCTTGTTTTCATCTATTAAGTGGAGATATTACCTTTCCAGTCACCACACTAGCTGTTGTGAAAGTCAAATGGAAAATATTTATCAAAATTTCTGTATTCATGTGAGGTAGTATTTGTATGATAACATTAATTCTAGAATAAGAGGTCTGGAAGAGGCCATACTGCACTCTTAGGAATGAACTAGCAACCATGTGTTTGCTACAGGCTCAAGCATATATAGACTAGTAAATTTTGCTATCACATCTTGAAACCCCCAGACATATGGTCATCAAAAAGTAGAGGTAGGAAATCTGAAATCTAAAAGATAAAGGTAGATACTTAATCTGTATTTTAAAATATGTACAGAAAAATAACAATAACTAGTTAACACATTTGTTTAGTTCATAGTGCTATCCGAATAAGGGTGGAGTAGGAGTTCCAGTTCCCAGAAAAGTTATCCAGAACCTCCTACCCAGCTGGATGACTGTCATATGAGATAAAATAAAGAAAATAAAAATACACCAGCTAATATTAAAAACTACTGTTAGAGGAATAACTTAAAGACACACATTACCAACAGATTGTGCATTCCATTTTTTTAACTCTCATACACTGTCCATAGGTAAAGAAACTCGTTTTTGACAAGCAATTTGACAATTTTAACAACTTTAACACATTTTTCAATTTATATATCTTTTGAGGCAAGAGTTCCACTTATAAGCATTTATCCTACAAAACTATTTGTACAAGAATACAAAGACATATCAACAAAGTTATTCAATATAGTATTAACTATACTGGCAAATTGGAAATGACTAAACATTCATTGAAAGTGGCTTGCTTTTTTTATTTTACATGATTATAAAAAAGGAAACATTTGCAATTTGATATAACAGTGCTCTATAGTCCTCTTTGAAACATTCCTGTGTTTATTGAATATACCTTACTAGAGGACCAGTGCATAAAAATTCGTGCACTGGAGGGGGGTCCTTTAAGCCTGTCCTGCCCCCTCTCACAGTCCGGGAACCCTCAGGGGCAGGAGGTGACCCAGCGATCCGGGGAAGGCAATGCCCCATCACACCTCTGCTACTGCCACAGCCAGCAGGGCAAGCCTCTGCTGGCCCTGGTTACCTGAGCCTCAGGTGGCCCTGAGTGGCTGAGCAACTGCTATTGGAGGCTTGCTTGCGCCTCAGGCAGGCCCTGGGCAGCTGTGGGGCTGAGGTGACTTGGGTGCCGCCATCTTGTAGCTGTGGATGCCGCCATCTTTGAGAGTGTGGTAGTTAATTAGCATATTCCCTCCTTATTGGCTGTGGGTGCTGCCATTTTGAGGGCGTGGCAGTTAGCATATTCCCTCCTTGTTGGCTGTGGGCACTGCCATCTTTGAGGGTGGGGCTATTAGCATATTCCCTTATTGGCTGTGGGTGCCATCATCTTTGCAATGGCATGAGGGTCAATTAGCATATTCCCTCTTTATTAGATAGTATTATAGGCCCAACGTGTGATTGAAATCACACAAGGAGGCACCCTACGGGGGCCAGGACCTGCACCTTATTCACGGTGTCCTCTGGCCCCTGCCTGTATCTGCTCCGGGGCCACTGGAGCCATCGCACCAGCTTGGGTAGGCCCCCCTGCCTCTGTCTCCATCTTCGCTCCGGGCCTCACCTGCACACACAACCTCCTCATGTCTGGTCACGACCTGTTACAGAGTCCTGGCCTAATTTGAATATTATCTCTTTATAGATAGATAGATAGATAGATAGATAGATAATACTGAACTACCCCTCCCCACCCTCTGGGAAAAGAGGGCCCAAATTAAAATTGGAATCATCTGTAAATAAGAATCTAACCATAAGAATCTCAACAGTTAAAATGCTACTTCATATATTCTTTTTTCAGTTTTAGTAAAAAAAAAAAATGACAATTATGTTTTTTTTTAAAATATATTTTATTGATTTTTTTACAGAGAGGAGGAGAAAGGGATTGAGAGCTAGAAACATCGATGAGAGAGAAACATTGACCAGCTGCCTCTTGCACACCCCCTATCGGGGATGTGCCCGCAACCAATGTACATGCCCCTGACCGGAATTGAACCTGGGACCTTCCAGTCCGCAGACTGACGTTCTACCACTGAGCCAAACCGGTTTCGGTTATGTTTCTGTTTTTAAACTTTTTTTTGCTGTTGTTTCACATTGTTTCTTAATGTGAAAGTTTCCAAGTAGGGGAGAGTGAAGAAAACTGTATTAACATTACTTAGATATTAAGGAAAAAAGACTAAAAAGTGTTAAAATTAAGACCAAAAATATTCATTTTAAACTGATGATACTGTTTCAGTCATTTTACCCTTTTTAACTTTTGATTGTGGTGAAAAACACATAACATAAAATTGACCATCTTAATCATTTTTAAGAAGACAGTCCAGAAGTGTTAAGTATATTCACAATGTAGTGAAAGCTGTCTTTTTAATAAATTGGTTTTCATTTAACGACTTTGTAACTCATTTACTCATGTCACTATGCACAGCAAGACTCTTAACTTCAGGTGATCTGGACACACAAAGTGAAGAGCTTCTATACCAGCTATATAATGCTGTCAATTAAGTGTTAGTTCAAGAATTATCAAAGAATTATAGAATTATAAGGTATTAAAAGAACCATAAAATAAAATTTAACTTTATTATAGTGTTTCTTATAATTTATTTTTACAACTCAGAATTTTAAGGCATATATATATATAGTTTTCAACAAGCAAAACCAACTAATTATGTGCAAATTTATAAAATTAAAACAATTCTTTCTGAAAAATTTGCTAGAGGGATTCCAGACTTTAAGTTTGTCATTAATCTCAACACAGGGTTGTCAGAGAATCCCTTTGCCTGTCTCTTGAATGAGCTAAGAGGAAGAAAGGGTCATGCCAACTGGCACCATATAATAACAAAGAGAACCTGCTTCATCAGGTAAGATGGGTATATTGGTAGGGTTAGAATGCATTTAAGAATAAAAAAATAAAAAAATTACTTTTTTATATCTTTGTAAAATTGCATTTTTAAAATATATTTTATTGATATTTTACAGACAGGAAGAGAGAGGGATAGAGAGTTAGAAACATCAATGAGAGAGAATTATCGATTAGCTGCCTCTTGCACACCCCCTAACGGGGATGTGCCCGCAACCAAGATACATGCCCTTGACTAGAATCGAACCCGGGACTTTTCAGTCCG